TTTAAACTGCTGGGCCAGGGTTTAGACAAGCCGTTTCAAAGCGTTTTAAAGACTGGAGTTTGGTTTTGGTTAGTTTTATCACCAACAGTCAACAACAGAGGGAGAGGGAAGCTTCAGAAGTTCCCCCTGTCCCGTTTGGAGGTTTTTTTCACGTATTGCGCGTATTGCGCAATCGTGTCCGCCATTAACGAATCGATTCGTATATTTACAAAATTTTGTAAATATCGAAATTTTAAAATTGGAAATTTCGGAAATCCTATCAGATTAGAAATGCGGGAGCCCCCTAGTTACGAAACGAGTTTAGAACCAATTTTTTTCTTGATCGCCCAAGCCTAGTGACCAAGGCATGGACCACTCCGGCCAGATCAGCCTTTGCGAGGTACGGTCGCAGTTGGCACACGAGTCTTAATTGTGCGAAAGCCCTCCCAGACACCGCCGACACCTGAGCCTCAAACGTGAGCAATGAATCCAGGAGGACTCCCAAACTGCGGACCTGTGGTTTCAAGGGGAGTGTAACCCCGTCCAACACAGGTTGCCACCCTATACCCCGGTCAGGTTTACGATCGACCAGAAGGACCTCTGTCTTGTCGGGATTAATCTTCAGCTTGTTCCTCCTCATCCAGATAGACACAGCGGCCAGGCACTCGTCCAGCACCTGAGAGGCCTCCTTGGAATTGGATGGAAATGAGTAGTAGAGTTGTGCGTCATCTGCATAGAGATGGCACCCAACTCCAAAACTCCGGATGATCTCTCCCAGCGGTTTCATGTAGATGTTAAAAAGCATGGGAGACAGAATAGAGCCTTGCGGGACCCCACAGGTCAAGGGCCAGGGGTCCGAGCAGGCGTCTCCCAGCTTCACCAACTGGGATCGACCCTCCAGGAAGGATCGGAGTCACGACAGAACCGTGCCCCCGAGACCCATCCTAGAGAGAAGACCCAGAAGGATACCATGGTCAATGGTATCGAAAGCCATCGAAGACTGCCAATGTAGGGGCCTGTCCAAGATCCTTGGAAAGAGATTGTAGACATATTGAGAAAAGGAGATGGGAAGCAATGCTCACCAGAAGAAATGAAGATCTGGTGGGACCACAAAGAGAAGAAGCATGGCGGGGGAAGTGGGAAGAAATAAATCTATGAATTATAGAGATTGTATTTTGTAATGAAATGGAATCGAAATGTAATGAAAATAATAATAATAATAATAATAATAATAATAATAATAATAATAATACAAATTGTGGGAGTTGAAGTTCAAAAACACCTGGAGGAGCAAAGTTTGCCCAGGCCTGCTCTACACAGACAAACTTATTTGCTTAATGTATAAGATTCGGGGACTTAAATGTTGTGAAATTATCACGGTCTATAACAAACGCAATGATATATAAATTTGTTAATTCTCAAATAACAACAAGGCTCCTGTTTTTCAATTTAATGTTTTTCAATTTAATATGGAGTAAAAGTGTGTGTGCCAGGAGCAGGGAAACAGGCAGGAAAGGCGAGCCAGAGATACAACTTGTTCATCAAGGGAAATAACAGCGCAAGCATCTTTTCCTTTGGCTTGGCCTCAACAGAAGCACTGACTTCCATTCTGGAATCCCGGCTGAAAAACAGCATTCACAAACTGGACATTTGCAACCAATGTGGTAAAGGGGCTGGAAACTAAGCCCAGAGGAACAATCGATGGAATTACATACGTTGGGACATGCAAGGAATCCGTGAGTGTGTGTCTGTCAATTGTAAAATAAGATGCATGAAACTGATTTTGTTCAGGCTTGAGCTATGCAGAGGCTGAGAGAGAAGAGCGAAACACGGAGAGAGTGAGTTTGGGGTGTGCTCTCGCTTCATGAGCTGCTGAAGGAGTTGATCCACATGGACAAAAAAAAGACAATTTTAAATCACTCATAAAAGGACATTGTGTGAGTTGATGTAACTGATCACATTGAACTACTTGTTCTTTATGGTTCACCTGGGTGGCATATTTTCTTTCTCTAGCAAGGCAGTGTGTGGGCAGTGTTGGTTTATTTTACATTACGCCACAACATCCTGTATATGGTGTCATATACAGGGATTTGTCCTGCCTGCTCCATCTCTCTCCAAATACCTATCCTAGTTATATGTCACCTTATCATGCCCAGCATTTTTTAAAATTTTAATTATTGCACTTGGCCCTGCCATAGGTTTTTAATGCATCGTGGTATTATTGTTATTGTTTATTGCTTTGTTTATGAGTTTATGTATTGTCTGTATTGCTGTTGCTGCTTTTTTACTGATGTATTTGGGCTCGGCCTTTTGTAAGCCGCAACGAGTCCTTCGGGAGATGGTAGTGGGGGTATAAATAAAGGGTTATTATTATTATTATTATTATTATTATATACTATAGCAGGGATCCACAAACTTTTTAAACAGAGGGCCAGGTCACAGTCCTTCAAACTGTTGGGGGGCCGGATTATAATTTGAGAAAAGCATGAATGAATTCCTATGCACGCTGCACATATCTTATTTGTAGTGCAAAAAACACTTAAAAACAATACAATAATTAAAATGAAGTACATTTTTAACAAATACAAACTCATTAGTATTTCAATGGGAAATGTGGGCCTGCTTTTGGCTGATGAGATAGGATTGTTGTTGTTGTTGTGTGCTTTCAAGTCGTTTCAGAGTTAAGTTGACCCTGAGCGAGGGCCGGGTAAATGACCTTGGAGGGCTATATCCGCCCCCCGGGCCTTAGTTTGAGGATCCCTGTATTAGAGTGTAAGCCGATCCAAATATAAGCCGAGGCAGCTAATTTTACCACAAGAAACTGGGAAAACTTATTGACTCAAGTATAAGCCGAGGGTCAGAAATGCAGAAGCTACTGAACAATTTCAAAAATAAAAAGATATCTATCAAATTACATTAATTGAGGCATCAGTAAATTAAATATTTTTGAATATTTACATAAAACTGTAATTCAAGATAAGACTGTCCAACTCTGATTACATCATTATTGTGGAGGCGGAAAGAGTGTGGCTTCTCTGAAGCTTGCAACTCTGGGGCAGAGGCCTCCTCAAACAAATGGACACTTCAGAAATGCTTCTGCCAGTCAAGTGAAAACATGCAAATGTGAGTAAATCAATAAGCACCACTCCGGCGGGAAGGTAACGATGCTCCATGCAGTCATGCTGGCAACATGACCTTGGAGGTGTCTACAGACAACACCAGCTCTTCGGCTTAGAAACAGAGATGAGCACCAACCCCCAGAGTCGGACACAACTGGACTTAATTTCAGGGAAAGCCTTTATCTTTACCTTAATCATTGTTAATACTTTCTCCAAGTCAGGGACTCCAGGTTTACAGGAGATAAAATTGATACAGCTTTTTTTTAGACATTATGCAAAAGTTTAATATTAAAATAAAATAAAATACAGGCAATTGGACGGAAGAACAGCAAATATAGAAAACACAAAACATGGAAGGTCTTTTTTCTTGTCCAATCACCCCCCAAAGACCTGAGGAAACAAAGGGATCTTCACCTGCCAACAAAAAGATAGCAAATTTTAGTTGCCCATTTTCAGCCCATAAGAGGGATATTGTCTGTCCGTCCATCCATTCCTTTCTCATTGAAATGCAATGTTATTATATACTGTAGTTTCACATATTGTCAGCAGATAGATTCCCACCTTTTATGAGCAAAGCTTGATGTTGTATTGTCTAAGTCAAAAATGTAGCTGATGAACAAGCACTTCCATTAATTTTTGTGTGTTGTTGGTTTATTTATTTCCAATGTGAATTAAAATACAAGGAAGTTTTCAATCTGATGTTGTGTCTGCTGCTATTATTTATTTAATAGGACACAGTTTGCTCACAAAGTAGTATCCTTGATCACACAGCAACTGCGAGAAAACAAAAAGTCTTCGTTTAACTTTCATAAAAGAGGTGCATGGCCTCATTGGTGCATGCATGGCAAGGGAAGAGGGGAGGCGTGTGCCACCCAAAGAGGCAGCGCATGCGCCTTCCTTCCTCTTCCTCTTGCCACACACACACCCTCTCTGTTCTCCGCACAGCAACCCTGCTGGAGGGCGCATGAACGCCCAATAGGAGGGGGAAGGAAGGTGGTGTTCTCCTCCCTCCCTGTTATTGCCGCGTGCGTGCGCACCTCCCTTTCTCCTTCTTGTGACACACGTGTGGTAATTTTTCCAAGGCGGCTTTGATACTATGTGGGGGTGATTTTTCTCCTCCCTTTCTCTTTCTTTTTCTTTTTCCTTCTTTCTTTTCCTCTCTTCCTTCCTTGTTCCTTTACTTCCTCAGCGTGTGGTAATTTTTTTTTTTTCTCCTTTCTTTGGTAACTTTTCCAAGGCGGCTTTGATACTACGTGGGGGGTGAGATAGGAAATACATATCAAAGGAGCAGCAGAATTGGTAACTTTTCCAAGGCGGCTTTTATACTACGTGGGGGTGAGATAGGAAATACATATCAAAGGAGCAGCAGAGTTGGTAATTGCATGGAGAGGCACTCGGCGTGCGGCAAGAAGCGAGGGTCCTGGCAGAAAGGCAGGGAATTAAAGAAGGGCTTTTTTCAGCCCCACGCCTTGCCGCCAGGACTCTCACCCGAGTATAAACGGGGGGAGCTTTGTCACCCTAAAAAAAGGGCTGAAAATGGAGCTTATACTCGAGTATTTACAGTACGTCTTTTTAAAAATAAGTGGCATGACAATCGTATTTAACCCTCTGAAGGATTGTCACAAGGAGCTGTCTTTCTGCTGCTCCAAGAACAGGACCCCAATTTAGGGATTTAAATGACAAGAAAGGTGTGTCGAGAAGCAAAGTAATTCTCTAAAACAGCCCCAAGTCAAACCTAGTCAAACAAAAAAACTGAACAAGAGTTCAAAACCACAAAGAAAGTTGTCTAAGAGATCAGTCCAAAGTCAAGCCAAACCCTACTTAAAGCCAAGGGAATCACACGTGTCCATTGGGAAATGTTGAATGTTTGATCTACTGCACCAGAAAGTCCATAACCTACCATTTCCCTGTTGCAACACATTTTATTTGTTTTTTCTTAGCTCTTTGGATGATTTCTCTCCTGTACGTTCTCTGATGGTTCAAAAAGTATGAACACCGATAAAACATTTCCCACATGCCTGGCATTTGTTTCTTTTTTAACCTGTGTGAATTCTGTGGTGCTTCCTAAGGGATGAAGTGTGAGTAAAACATTTCCCACAATCCATGCATTTGTGTGGCTTTTTTCCTGTGTGGAGTCTTTTGTGCCTCACCAAGGCTGAACTCTCAGCAAAAGATTTCCCACACTCCTGGCATTGGTATGGTTTCTCTCCTGTGTGGAGTCTTTTGTGGCTCACCAAAGTTGAACTCGCAGCAAAACATTTTCCACACTCTTGGCATTGGTATGGTTTCTCTCCTGTGTGGAGTCTTTTGTGCTTCACCAAGTCTGAACTCACAGCAAAACATTTCCCACACTCCTGGCATTGGTATGGCTTCTTTCCCGTGTGGAGTGTTTTGTGGCTCACCAAGTGTGAACTCTGAGTAAAACATTTCCCACACTCCTGGCATTGGTATGGCTTCTTCCCTGTGTGGATTCTTTTGTGACTTGCCAAGGCTGAACTGTGAGTAAAACATTTCCCACAATCCATGCATTTGTATGGCTTCTTGCCTGTGTGGACTGTTTTGTGGTTCACCAAGCCTGAACTCCAAGCAAAAGATTTCCCACACTCCTGGCATTGGTATGGCTTTTCTCCTGTGTGGAGTCTTTTGTGGCTCACCAAGGCTGAACGCACAGTAAAACATTTCCCACACTCTTGGCATTGGTATGGCTTCTTGCCTGTGTGGACTGTTTTGTGGTTCACCAAGCCTGAACTCACAGCAAAAGATTTCCCACACTCCTGGCATTGGTATGCCTTCTCTCCTGTGTGGAGTCTTTTGTGGCTCTCTGAGTGTGAACTCTGGATAAAAGATTTCCCACACTCCTGGCTTATGAAATCCTCGGTTCCTTTAAATATGTTTTCTTGACCCAGATCTGGCAGTTTGTAATCAGCAATACATTTTGCTGATACTTTCCATTTACAATGGTTTTTCCCAGCACTGAGTGTGTTGTGAAGTGTAAGTCCCATATTTTGGGTAAAACACTGCCCACATACATTGCATTTGTAGGGCCTTGCTCTGGCAGAATCTCCATCTTCTCTGTGGGTTTCCTGATGTCTAGGAGGGCCTCCATTGTGTCCCAAATGCTTCCTGTGTTTGGTTTCCCAGTTATCCGCTGTAAAGAAGGACAGAGATAGTGTGAGTGATAAGGACTCTAGGGAATTGGTATAAGAAGGAGATTGAAATGATCCTTAAAGCAACATAGAAATGGAAGAAAAGCAGATATAAATGCTGCCCTCTCCCCACCCCTTGTTCAATAAAGATGGACACTGTTTGATTGCCTGGAGCCTCTAAATTATTGTTTTCTATTCGTGCAGTTGCTTCTGACACTTCATGACCTCCTGGACCTGCCCARGGCAGCGCTCCCTGTTGGRCGTGGCCACTGCCAGTTCCAAAGTCATGGCAGTCACTTTACAGGGGAGCTCCACCTTCTTCATATATGAGAATTTAGGGAAGTGGTGTCATGAATGACTTTTCAATAACTTTGAAGCATAGGTTCTTTTTATTGCAATTTCCAGTGTGAGAGGGTATATCAGATTACAGAAAATGTTTAGACARAGAATGACATTGGACARACAGKCAATCTGTAGTTGTACAGATTCTATGCAACTACACTGGATTTACAATTACATTGGTTAACAAAAAAACAAAGGAGAATTYCARCTTCACTCAACATTCACACCCATGTACATACATTCATCCACATGCATCCAAAATATTACCATATCCTTTTCTCCCTCCTTGGAGAAGCACCTGTTAGGCCAGACCTTGCTTTCCTGCAGCCTGACAACATATAGTTGCATAACTTCCATAACTTCAAATCGCTGAAATACCAAWGCTTCTTCCCTAAGAACAATGCCAAYGYCCAGATCTCTGTTTTCCATACAGCAGAACCTGACTCCCTGCACAAAATCTAAGACMCCAAAAGCACACTTCTTCCTCTTCCCTTGYGAAAYAAGRCCCAAAGTGACCAGACTYCTCCCGTGCAGATCTGCCACTCTCCATAGGTACACTATCTCTCTCCTTCCCWTGGAGCAGAGCGGGTGAACCAGACTCCTCAGGTCGGTCTCAATTTGAACAGTATTAGACTGAGTCTTTTATAGGAATATTCCCTTGATGTAGTCCCAAAGTTGTAAATTAATGATAGACGTCTTCCATCCTGGCTCCATCTCGGTTTCCTGGCRAAATGTTGACTCTTCTTGATTGGTGTTGACAAARACAAGGCTTATGTTGACTTCCTTCTTAACATAAGGAAMATTGCAAACTTTATCAGTGTACCYTTCTAATCAGAGATTACTTTTCAGATCTCATTAGCAGGTGTCATTGCAGACCTTAATATTATACTGGTGTTTCCAAAAAACATCCATACATCCTTTCATCCTTCCATTCATTCCCAGACATCATATTAAATCCACATTTATAAAATCTGCACATTAAATTTCTTGTGACAGTGGCWGYGGATATATTCACTATTTCCAAACCTTTAGGGTGGAATAAATATACAGAGTGTTTCAAAAAGATGGACTCAGTTTGATTTCTGCAGTTGTGAATCTACCATGAATGACATTCTCACCACTTGGAAGAGAGGGGCAGAGAGTTTGATCACTGCTATATACCTCTCCCAGTGCACAAAAAACCCTGAGCCCCCATCATTCACAAGCACAGAACATAGAACGCATTATGTTGCAGGTCACCATCTTGCGAATGACTGAGGCAGGGGCTGATTGTGTGCTGGGAGAGGCAGCGTAGAAAGAGAGGTTGGCTTCAGACAATCAGAAGCTAGCCTGCCTGGCTGGGAGGAAAAACAAGGTTGAACACCACACCYATAAMATGAAGAATAGCCACATCTGTYTATCTGAAGCCAGGGAAGGGMGTTCTTTTGGATGATCCATTCTCTGGCCACTCTCTCCAGCCAATCTGCTTCTTCCCCCTCGTTGCCTGTCTCTCACACAAATKCTCACAGAGAGAGAGAGGGAGAGACAGAGAAGAGTGTGTCTGATCTGGGGTGATTGCTGRGAGGGAGTGTGGTACGCTTAGACTTGGCTCCAGTTATGGAAGTCTTCCCACTGTTGTCCAAATTGGGGGCAACATCACTGTGACTCCATRGCTTAGACTTGSCTCCAGTTATGGAAGTCTTCCCATAATAGTCCAAATTGGTGGCAACATCACTGTGGCACCACGTCAATGTTACACTATGTCATCTATTTCTAACTTAAGTCCTGCCTTGAGGACCCTCAGTGATTGGGATGATTTCAGACATTATTTCCACCAGAGAGCTGCTGATTGGAATCCTGCATTTTGAAATAGAAATTCCCATCCGTGAGGGAGCCTTACCAAGAGTGTCCACCATCACATGAATCTCCTCCATGATCTGCCCGTGCAAGGCTTTCTGACCAGGATTCAGGAGAGCCCACTCCTCCAAAGAGAAATGGACAGCCACGTCCTCAAAGGCGATTGGGCCCTGGTGGAAAAAGGAAAATAAGGAAAATCAAGAAAAATAATTACAAGAGTCTTTTGAAAAGATTTACATTTATGTTGGTTCAATCTTTTCTGTTTCAAAAGATGTTTGATGATTGAGCCTGGAACCAATGACCCCCAGGCAGCTCCCTTCCTCCTCTCCCAGGAATCCTTCTGCTTACCTGATTCACTTCCACTCCATCACAAAGGGGAAGAAACGACTGAGGATTCGGCAACAACATCATTCCAGCCCCTGGGAGGGAGAGAGAGAGAGAGAGAGCAAGAGGTGGAAAGCTGATCACATAAACATGTCTCAGTGGTGCCAATTGCAGTCCTGAAAAGAAACCTATGAGGAAATGACTCTATGAAGACAGGAGCATCCAGTCCAACCTATTCACAGCACTGCATGAGATGAAAAAGTCCTAAACTCCAAAACTTTACAATTCCTGGGCTGGAGAATGTTCCTGTCTTTATAGAGTCATTTCCTCATGCAGTGCTGTGAATAGGTTGGACTGAAACTAGTAATGGGCTTGGTAGTTCAATGGACTAAAGTTATTCTTGGTTGTCTGTTTGTCTTCCAGCTCAGTTTCAGGGCTCATCTTAGCTTCGGGTTTCACCTGGGAACATACCGAACGGCTGATATTTCAGTCCCACCCAACAGTATGCAAATGTAGAAGTAGAACAATAAAGAAAACTCCAAATCACACTGAAATTACACCTTTTGCAACCAAATGCTTACCTATATACTCATCTCAAGGTCAAATGATCCTACATGTATGCCTCCTCTAGCGCAAACGGATTGTGCATTTGTTACAATTCCTTGAAGGGGAAGTTACACTGGCATAAAACAGCAAAACACGCCGAAGGGTTCCTGTGACGATGTGTAAATTTTATTCCTTTGGTTATGTGTAATTTAAATAGTGGTTTAAGGATGGTAAGTATGTAGGATTGTGTTTTGTTGGAGATGGTGGCTTGGCGTTGGCTGAGTTGCCATAGCAACAGGGGCGGAGCCAACTGCCTCTTCATGGGGCAGCTGTTTTTGAAAGTCAGTCAGTAAGCCGGTGAGCTACTGGGTAGACTGAGTCTCTGGGTGGAGATTCAGGGAATGAGTCAGTAAGCCGTTGAGCTACTAGGAAGACTGAGTCTTTGGGTGGAGATTCAGGGAATGTGTCTGTAGCCGGTGTCTCTCCTAGAATCGATGGAATCTCCTCTCTTGTAGTTTGAAGCCATTGGTGCTATAGGGAAGACTGAATCTCTGGGTGGAGATTCAGGGAATTAATTGGTGACCAAAGGGGTTACAGAAAAGGACCCAGTAGTGATAAAACTACAGGGGGTTATTGATTCTGAGTTAAGAATCAAGGTTTGGCTGGGAGCCAATTCTGTTAATAAGCCTTTTAGCTTATTTGTTTTATTAGGACAGTTGTCCAGAAGAGTTACATCTGCTTATAGAAACCTCTTGAAGTCTGTGCCTGAGATTACTCATGAAACCTTACTAATGTAACCAATCAAGATTTGTGCCTCTTGTGAAGAAACAGTTAAACATGTTATACTCCTGTTTAAAATAAACTTGTTACTGTTTTCCTCAAGCCTTGCCTGATACAGTTTCTCTCAAGGCAAACAGCCTACATAAGAAGTAAGGTCAAGCCAGGGACAGTGGGCGCTACGCTATCAAATGAATAAAGCCTTCTGTAATTAATAGTCCCTTTATAAAATAGCTCCTAAGCCGATATTGATTGTTGCCCGGCTTTCCTCACAGATTAGGTGGCAGTAAGTTCAACCACACTCCTTCACAAATTGGTGGCATTCGGTGGCATTAAAACGGTCTTCTTCACAGTTCCTTCTTACCCTCCAAGGCTGCAGCCCCATCTCCTTCCTGCTCGAGCTTCTTCTGTTGAAGGCTCTGGGTGGTGTCAGAGACATCAGGATGGACTTGAACACAGTTATTTTGGGCCTGAAAAAGCACAGAGTATTCCAGAAGTAGTATTTTATTTATTTATTTATTTATTAGACTTGTATACCGCCACTCCCAATTTGGCTCGGAGCGGTTTACAGCAGTAGATTAAAACAATACAACCAACTTTAAAATACAATAAAAACGAGAACCAACATAGTCCCGAGTTATTCATCCATCGAAAGCTTGTCGGAAAAGAAAGGTCTTACAGGCTTTCTTTTCCGACAGGTATGGAGAAAAAGCAAAACAATTACAGACCTATGTGCAGAAACTCCATGGACTTTTAAAAAAGAATCACTCAGAGTTTGAAACAAATGCCATATTCCCCTTCCATCATTTTCAATGTGATATCTGGCAACAGCAAATTTGGGTAGAGTAGAGGTAGAGCAGCAACCACTTGTATGTTGGATAGGGAGGTGAGAGCAGGAGGGGCAGAGCAGGTGGGAAAAGAGGCCGAGGGAGCAGAGTCCGGCTTCTCTCTGTCATAGGTCCCATCTTGGAAGGAAGGCAGGATGTACATTTAATCTCTCCATCAGTCCCAAGGTGAGTGAAGCCAAGAGGAAATGCTCTCACCTGTCCTTCCTGCTTCTCGTCCTCTGCCCGACTCAGGAGGAAGCCTTCCGCCAGGGCCACCGCCTGGGAAGAGGTCTCTGCCCCACACTCTCGGACCCAGCTCCCCATCTCTGGGGGCAGGATGCTCAGGAACTGCTCCAGGATCACCAGGTCCAGCATCTCCGCCTTGGTGTGTTGCTCTGGCTTCAGCCACTGGCGGCAGAGAGAGTGGAGGCGGCT